TAGGTTATAGCTAGGCTATAAAGTTGCACCTTCCAGTATAGCCTTGGACAGACCTGTATGCCAACCCCAAGCATAGTAAGACCACAATTCTGGCACCATCACTCTTCTTGCTGGATTGGGCACTCCCTGGGCTGCAAGATGCTCCAGGGCCCATCTCAGGAGGTAGAAGTGAGCTTCCTTGCAGCTGTTTTCCCGAAGGCTGAGGAATGAGCTCATGGAATTGAAATTGCTAGAGAATGGAAGCAGGTGGACATAGGATGAAGTGAGGTGCATGGGATGATAGTTCCTGACAGAGAAGGCATGAGAGTGTGGACCCTGACGATCTGAGGCAGTGGTGGGCAGGGAAGTCTCCTGATTTGCCCTGCTAAGCCCAGGAGGGCAGACCATTTTTTCTTGGGAGCAGCTGTGTTCTGATCACTGTTAGGTGCATGGCATGCCTTCTATCATTGACTGTCAGAAGCCTGTAAAGTGACAGTGATGGCCAACCTTCAGTTTTGAAGTATACCAGTGCCTACTGGGGAGGGAATGAGCTATAAGTGGCAGGGCAAGTATACCACAGGCTTCTGTGGCAGAGTGGGACACTCTGAACACCACTTTGTCTTGGATGCTTGTAAGGCTGTCCTGCCTTGGTGTCAGCAACCCTTGACCCTCATCAATGCTGCAATCAGTCATACTATCTTCCAGAACTTCCACTTTGACTGATACTCTACCATGCTACCATCTTTCCGAGAGACACATGAGTTACTGGAACTTTCTCTGAGACTAGGATTGACATTAAATCTACATGTATACTTTATATTATTCCTGTGTACAGAGCAGGACAAGGTACATGGCCAAAGCTCAATTCAAGACTAAAACTGAGGCCAAGAGCAAGTCCAAGGCTGAGCCCAACCAGGCCAAGAGAAGGGCAGATAAAGATGAAGACCAACCAAGGTCTAGATAGACCCTAACCAGGCAGTGAGCACCACAGCAAGGTACAAGTGATGCCAAGGAACGACAGGACAGTGCTGCTGGCATAGTTGCTGTCTTCCCTTCTATCTGGTCACAGGCTCATCTTGAGCCTGCTCATGGGCTCTTACAGACTCAGCTAAGCACCCTGACATATACTCTGACATCACTCTGTAGGCCAGCTATTCACTGGGAACCTGGGACACAATGATGCTCCTGAGCCTTCCGAAGAGACAAAGCCTGGGACAGCCTTTGTCTTAGATTGTGAAAATGGTCTCTTCATCAGGGACATGGCTGTCACTGAAATAGGGGGTCTGAAACAAACAGTCTGAGGAAATGACTGAGGTGAGTGACTTCCTTTTTACTCCAGAGAGAAGAAGGGGTTTTGTGAAAGGTGATAAACAGAACAAGCTGTCATACAGATGCAAAGGCTTGGTGACTCTGGAAAATGCAGATCAGAGGTCCCTGACCATCCCTTGCTTCTACCCCAGTGGCTTTCTTCAGCTTTAGGGCTTCACGTTGCTTCTGGCACTTTCAACTTCCCAGCATGGGAACCAGAATTGCCTATGGTGGTTCAGGGGTCACCTTCTCCTTCCTTGTTCTGTTCTATGTTTCCTGAGGATCCTATATGAATTACTGCCCATTTTGTAATTCAAGAAAGAGTTAATTTTATTAAATATTAAATATTCTTAAAAGCTCTGAGTGTGCTGCCTAGTTTTCTGTCAACTCTGACACAAGCTAGAGTTGTTTGAAAGGAGGGAACCTCAATTGAGAAAATGCCTACATAAGATCCAGTTGTAGGGCATGTTCTTAATTAGTGATTGATGATTCAGCTCATTATGGGTGGGGCCACCCCTGGACTGGTGGTCCTGGGTTCTACAAGAAAGCAAGCTGTCTAAGCCACAATGAACAAGCCAATAAGCAACATCCCTTCATGGCTTCTGCATCAGCTCCTGGCTCTAGGTTCCTGCCCTGTTCGAGTTCCTGTCCTGACTTCCTTTGATAATGAACTGTGATATGGAAGTATTTAAACACTTTCCTCCCCAAGTTGCTTTGGGTCATGGCGTTTCATCAGTAATAGTAACCCTAACTAAGACAAACTCCCAGCCCTCACATGGCAGCTCACAATCATCTATAACTCTATTTCCAGGGATTCTGACCCCTTCTTTTGTGTCAGATTCCACTGACACCAGGTATGCATGTGGTACACAGACACACATGCAGCAAAATACCAATACATACAAAATAAAGTGAAAATGAAAAGGCTTATTTTTTTATGCGTGTGTGCACTTGTGTGCATACGTATGCACAGATGCATGCAGAGACCTGAGGAGGTCAGATGCCCTGGTGCTGGAGCAGCAGTAACCATCTAATGCGAGTGCTAGGAGGCAAACTCAAGAGCAGGAAGCACTCCTAACCTTTGACCCACCTCTCCAGTCCCCACTCCCCCTTTTTTAGTTAAGTATCTTTTAAACTTCTGAAAAATTTAAACTTTAGAAAAGAGTAAGCACGTGACAAAAGAAGAATCTTTTCATATGAAGTTGTTTTGGTCATGGTGTTTCACCACAGCAATAGAAACCCCAACTAAAAATACCAGGGTCCCCTGGTTTCTGTCACCTTGCCTGGCTACTGCCCACCCTCAGATGGACTCAGAGATGAAACTACAGGAGTCACAGTTTGAAGGGGTAGGTGATAGTTTGAGATGGGCCCTGGTCTTTGAGAGGGGCTGACAAACATCCAAGGACCTAATATGTTGTGACCCGCCCCCCACCCCCAGTGGAGAATGAGAAGGGTGTGAGAGCCATAGAGAACCATTCTCTGGGTGTCTGTGTAGGACTCCAGTAAAGAGACAACTCTGAACAGCTACTGTGAGCCCCAGGCCCCAACAGAGGCCCCTGGTTGTCTTTTAGGAGGACCCTCAAAGGGGCCCAGAGAGGAGAAGTGGAACCCTAGGAAGTAGAGTGAGGACCTAGGAACTTGGGCAGATTTGGCCTGACCTCTGGGGATCTGGGGTATCCAGGTAGGCTTAAAGGGGCAAGACAATGACCTCATGCACTCCTGAGTTGCAGAAAGACTATCCTGTCTGGACACCTGAAGGGTACCAGAGCAGGTGTTTCAGGCCTAGAGAAGCTGCTTAGGAGGCAAGCCCACTGATATGCTTTAGCTCTCCACAGGAGTGGGGGGCTTGGTTGCTCACCCTATCCTCTTACACTCCCTGTAGTAGGCACAATGTGGCAGTCATCTCTCAGGGTTAGGGAGGGTTAAGGTTGGCTCTGTAGAATTTTGGCTTGTCCACTATTCCATGTATTCCTGTCCATCCTGACTCTCCCTCCACAAGCCAGAGGGGCTAGCCAAGCCCATTGGTTCTGCATGATTCCTCCCAGGGGACATGAATGCCAGGAGAAGCAGCAGAGGGAGCCCAGGTTGGGGGTGGGGCTTGGGAAGAAGAGGAGGAGCCTGGGGCAGTTTCCTTTTCCTGAGGCATACGTGTATGTGGGTGGTGGTAAATGAAGGATATAGGGAGGTCCAGAGGCTGAGTTTTATTTCCTGAAGTGAGGAGGAAGTTGAGGTGATGGGGGAGAAAACAAAGGAGGGAAAGGAATGAGGTGTGGCACCACCTGCCTCTCCCATACTGGGTCGGAGATAAGATGTCCTAGACATGTGATTCCATTGCCCAGACACATAGGGCAAGACCTCCTCTGCAACCAGATCCACCACATTCCAGCAGCTGCAGACATATTTCTTCAGGCTGTGGAAGTGTAATGTCTTTTCTACATACCTCCACTTCTGTTTCCTGATTCTGCCACTTGGTCCAAAGGTTTCCTCTGCCCCTTCCCACCACAGCTGTGACCTTTAAGGGTGCCTGGCCTGCTGGCCTAGGTCCCTCACTGAGACACTGTCTATGTTCTCTGCACAATGGATGGCCATGAGACAGCTTGGGCTCAGTAATTTAGCTTCCAAGGGCTCTTTGGGCTCCTCTGGACTTCCTATTTGGGGCTTGGACCTACCCTCTTTCCTCCTCCTCCCTGTCCTACTACCAGCTACCCCTTGCCCCCTGCCAGCAAGTCTTCATGGAGACTGGAGTGTCCAGTATACCCCTAGACAGCTTCTGAAGAGTAGAAAAAAATTACTAGCTGTCTGTAAGGGCATAGACTCTTCACCCTGGGGCCCCAGTCCCCCCCAGGTGGCCGCTTCCGGAACTCTCTTGAGAAAGACAGTTCCCGGAGTGACCACAGGATGTCCCAATGACCTCTGTGGAATGTTCCAACGCCCCAGGTGTGTTGCTTAATCTAACACATAGTTTAACTGATGAGTAAATGTGTAACTTTGTAATTCCCCTATTTCCTCCCCAGTCCCCCTCCTTTCTTTTGTGTTTTTTGCCTTTATAAGCTTGTCACAAGTTTGGGTCGGGGTCGAACTCCTCTACCCCTGCATGGTGTATGAGTCTCGACCCCAGCATGCTGGCCTGAGATCTCATTCAATCCCGTTTTCAATAAACTTCCTCGTGTGATTGCAGCAAGTTCGGTCTCAGTGTCTCACTGGGTGCGTGCTATTCCTGAGATTTGAGCGAGGGTCTCCCTACGGGGGTCTTTCATTTGGGGGCTTGTCCGGGATTTGTGCAACCACCCAGGGGTCCTAGACCCACTTGGAGGTAAGAATTTTTTTTTTTTTTGCTGTTGTTCTGTTGTGACTCTGTATTTGTGGCCTGTTCAAAAATCTGGTGCGATCGCAGTTTCGTTTTTTGCAAACACTCTATTGAGGCTGCTCTCCAGGAGGAGGAGCGGAGTGGACGGGGATAGACGTGTCCAGGTGTCCACCGTTTGTTCGCCCTGGGAAAAGTCCGGGGAGGACAGGAGGAGGACCAGGGATGCCTGGTAGACCTCCACGGGGGAGAAGTCGGGAGATAAGTTTTCTCCTAGATAACCTGTGTCAAAGGGCCATTTCTAGGCCGTCTGGCTCCTCTCAGAACTACGGGTCGACTTGAAGCTGACAGCTGCTTTTGTGTTCTTGTCTTTCTGTCTTCGTGCTTATTTTTGTTAATAGAGGTAGACATGGGACAGACCGTGACAACCCCACTAACAATGACTCTGGACCATTGGACGGACGTTAAGACTAGGGCTCATAATCTTTCTGTCGAGGTCAGAAAAGGACCTTGGCAAACTTTTTGTTCCTCCGAATGGCCAAGTTTTGGTGTGGGATGGCCTTCGGGGGGAAGTTTTAACCTATCTGTTATTTCCACTGTCAAGCGAATTATTTTTTCAGGCCACAGGAGGACACCCTGGTCAGGTTCCCTACATTCTCGTGTGGCAGGACCTAGTCCAAAACCCGCCACCCTGGATGAAACCCTAGACATCGGGAATAGAGACTGCGACGGTGGCAGTGGCCATGAAACCAAAAGTACCTCCTTCAGATCCGCCGGTGCCCGCTCCATCAGCTCCCCCGCGGATCTATCCTGAAATTGATGATGTCTCCCTCCTTGACCATCCTCCTCCCCCGTATCCTCAACCCGTTCCTCATGCAGCCCCCTGACAGGTGCCGGCCCCAACGGACTCCCGGACGGCCTTTGAAATAGGGCCAGCGGCCGGGATTCGAAGCCGCCGGGCCGCTGCCCAGAGGGATCTGGCGCAGGACCTGACTCCACCATTGCCCTACCATTACAGGCTTATGGACCGCCCCAGCTCCAGGAAAATTAATCCCACTGCAGTATTGGCCGTTTTCAATTGGAAAACTAACCACCCCTCTTTTTCAGAGAACCCCTTGGGCTTGACGGGACTCCTCGAGTCCCTGATGTATTCTCATCAGCCCACTTGGGACGACTGCCAATAACTCTTGCAGGTCCTCTTTACGACTGAAGAAAGAGAGAGGATCCTCCTAGAGGCCAGAAAAAATGTTCCAGGACCCGATGGGACCCCCACCAATCTTCCTAATCTTATAGATGCTGCTTTCCCCTTGGCCCACCCTGACTGGGATTACAACTCTGCGGAAGGTAGGGGGCGTCTCACGGTCTACCGCCGGGCTCTAGTGGCAGGTCTCAAGGGGGCCGCATGGCGACCCACCAATTTGGCAAAGGTAAGAGAAATCCTACAGGGTCCAGTGGAGCCACCCTCTGTCTTCTTGGAACGACTGATGGAGGCTTATAGGAGATATACCCCATTTCATCCCTCCTCTGAGGGACAGCAGGTGGCCGTAGCCATGGCTTTTATAGGGCAGTCGGCCTCTGATATCAAGAAAAAGTTGCAGAGACTAGAGGGGCTCCAGGATTATACTTTGCAGGATTTAGTAAAAGAGGCAGAGAAAGTGTATCACAAGAGAGAGACCGAGGAAGAAAAACAAGAAAGAGAAAAAAAGGAGGCAGAAGAGAGGGAAAATCGGCGGGATCGCCGCCAAGAGAGGAATTTGACTAAGATTTTGTCCGCAGTAGTAGGTGGAGAAAGGTCAGAGAAAGGACAGTCAGGACACCTGGGCAACAGGGCAAGGAGACCCCAGGGAGGACGGAGGCTACAACTTGAGAAAGACCAATGTGCATACTGTAAAGAAAAAGGACACTGGGCCAGAGATTGCCCCCCAAAGAAACAAAAGGGCCCCAAAATACTGGCCCTCGAGGAAGATTAGGGGAGTCGGGGCTCGGTCCCCTTCCCCGAGCCTAGGGTAACTCTTTCTGTGGAGGGGAACCCCGTTAATTTCTTAGTGGATTCAGGAACCGAACACTCAGTTTTGACTAAGCCATTAGGACAATTAGGATCAAAAAGAACTCTGGTGATGGGAGCCACTGGAAGTAAACTTTACCTCTGGACAACCAAAAGAAGTTTAGAAATAGGAAAAAGCCAAGTAACCCACTCTTTTCTTGTGATTCCTGAGTGCCCTGCGCCCCTTCTGGGGAGGGACTTGTTGACCAAACTAAAGGCTCAGGTCCAGTTCACCCCGGAGGGACCAGAAGTCACCTGGGGAGAGGCCCCTATAACATGCTTAGTTCTAAGTCTAGAAGAAGAATATTGCCTCCATGAACCCAAGACTGGGATTTTGCCCCCTAAAGAATGGCTGACAGCTTTTCCAGAGGTTTGGGCAGAGCAGACTGGAATGGGACTGGCCAAACAAGTGCCACCTGTCATAGTCGAGCTGAAAGCAGCTGCCACCCCCGTCTCAGTCAGCCCCATGATTCAAGGGGCTAAAGAAGGCATTCAACCACATATCCAGAGACTGTTACAACAAGGTATACTGATTCCCTGCCATTTCCCTTGGAATACTCCCCTCCTGCCGGTACGTAAGCCTGGCACCAATGATTATCAGTATGTCCAGGACTTAAGAGAAGTCAATAAATGGGTACAGGACATTCACCCAACTGTGCCCAACCCTTACAACTTGCTGAGTTCCTTACCGCCTGAACGATCCTGGCACACCATTCTGGATTTGAAAGATGCCTTTTTCTGTCTCAGATTGCATCCGAGTAGCCAACCCCTGTTCACTTTTGAGTGGAGAGATCCCAAAGGAGGACATACAGGTCAACTGACCTGGACTAGGTTGCCACAGGGATTCAAGAATTCACCGACTCTTTTCGATGAAGCACTCCACCGTGACCTTGCGCCCTTCAGGGCCCGGAACCCTCAGATTTCTCTCTTGCAGTACGTAGATGATTTACTGCTCGCAGCCTTGACCAAGGAACTGTGCCTCGACAGGACCAGAAAGCTCCTAAAGGAATTAGGTGAGTTGGGGTACCGGGTGTCCACCAAGAAAGCCCAGTTATGCCACTCGGAGGTGACCTACCTAGGATACACCCTCCGAGAAGGGAAGTGGTGGCTCACTGAAGCACGAAAAAAGACTGTGATGCAAATCCCGACCCCCACTCCTCCTCCACAAGTACGTGAGTTTTTGGGAACTGCGGGTTTTTGTAGACTCTGGATACCAGGGTTCGCCACGCTGGCGGCCCCTCTGTACCCATTTGCTAAAGAAAAAGTCCCATTCACCTGGACGGAGGAGCACCAAAGAGCCTTTGATAATATAAAGACTGCCCTGCTCACAGCTCCTGCTTTGGCCCTGCCAGATCTGATTAAGCCTTTCACTCTATGTTGATGAGCGGGCTGGAGTAGTCCGTGGAGTTCTGACTCAGACCCTGGGGCTCTGGAAGCGGCCGGTAGCCTACCTATCTAAAAAGCTAGACCCCGTCACCAGCGGGTGGCCCTCTTGCTTGAAAGCCATTGCAGCAGTAGCCCTACTTGTCAGAGACACGGATAAGCTCACTCTGGGTCAGCGCGTGACTGTAATTGCTCCCCATGCTTTAGAAAGTATTGTGCGGCAGCCCCCCCGACCGCTGGATGACAAACGCCCGGATGACACATTACCAGAGCTTGCTGTTAAATGATCAGATAACCTTTGCTCCTCCTGCTATTCTCAACCCGGCCACCCTGCTCCCTGAAGCAGATGACTCTACCCCAGTGCACCGATGCACTGACGTCCTGGCTGAAGAAATCGGGACTAGGAAAGACCTGACTGACCAACCTCGGCCGGGTGTGCCTAACTGGTATATGGACGGCAGCAGTTTTGTGGTAGAAGGTAAAAGAAGGGCGGGAGCAGTGGTGGTGGACGGAAAGCAGGTAATTTGGGCTTGCAGTCTACCAGAAGGAACCTCCGCTGAAAGAGCTGAGCTCCTGGCACTGACTCAAGCTCTGCGTCTGGCAGAAGGTAAGGCTATCAACATTTACACCGACAGCCGTTATGCTTTTGCCACAGCCCACGTTCATGGGGCCATCTACAGACAGGAAGAGACATTAAAAATAAAGAGGAGATCCTGGCCCTCCTAGAAGCCATACATCTTCCAAAAAAATTAGCCATCGTCCACTGCCTGGGACACCAGAAGGGGACTGACCTAGTCACAAAGAGGAACCAAATGGCTGATCTAACAGCAAAACAAGCTGCCCAGGGAGCAGTAGTGCTGGCGGAGAAAACTGGAACCCCACCAGAACCCCCCGCAAGCCATGGATCCCAGCTTCATCTATCCCTATAAAGATTATGATTTAATCAAAGATATGACCTGTGCAGGAAAAGCTCAAATGCTCAGTTCCGATGGATTGGCAAAAACCAAAGATGGACGAATCATTCTGCCCTCTAAAGAAGGGCAAGACTATGTGAGACGAATGCACCAGCTAACTCATCTTGGAAATGAAAAACTTAAGCAATTAATCAAAGGTTCTAAATATTATGTTCTATGATTAAATACAGTAGTAAAAGAAGTAGTAGAGTCATGTCAAGCCTGTACCTTGACCAATGTTGCCCGACCGTTCAAAGAACCTGGAAAAAGGATGAGGGGAGATCAGCCGGGAGTTTATTGGGAGGTAGACTTCACTGAAATTAAGCCAGGAAAATATGGTAATAAGTACCTTCTAGTTTTTATAGACACTTTTTCAGGATGGGTGGAAGCCTTTCCCACCAAGTCTGAAACTGCTCAAGTAGTAACCAAGAAGATACTGGAAGAAATCCTGCCCCGGTTCGGGATCCCCAAGGTAATCTGTTCGGACAACAGGTCGGCTTTTGTTGCCCAGGTAAGTCAGGAGTTGGCCACCCAACTGGGGACTATTTGGAAATTACATTGTGCTTACAGACCCCAGAGCTCAGGACAGGTAGAAAGAATGAATAGAACCCTAAAAGAGACCCTTACTAAATTGGCTATTGAGGCCGGCGGCAAAGACTGGGTGACCCTCCTCCCCTTTGTGCTTCTTAGGGTCCGAAACACACCTGGACGTTTCGGCCTTACCCCTTATGAAATCCTACATGGGGGATGGCCCCCCTTGACTGAGTCAGGCGCGATATTGGATCCTTGCACTGACTCACCCTTCTCCTCTGCTCTGTTTACCCCCTTAAAGGCCTTAGAAGTTGTCAGAACACAAATCTGGAATCAGATCAAAGAAGCCTATACTCCAGGGACCACCGCGGTGCCCCACGGATTCTAAGTCGGAGACTCAGTCCTGGTCAGACGACATCGTGCTGGCACACTTGAGCCTTGGTGGAAAGGACCCTTTCTAGTGCTGTTGACCACCCCCATGGCAGTAAAGGTAGATGGAATTGCTGCCTGGATCCACGCTTCTCACATAAAAAAGACACCCAGTCAAAATGAAGACAACCGCGAAGATAATTGGACAGTGGCAGCCAGTGACAATCCTCTTAAGCTGTGCCTTCGCCGTAGTTCTAACCTTGGGGGGATAACCCTCATGTCCCTCAAAAACTGACATGGGAAGTGCTTAATGAAGAGGGTGATGTCGTGTGGTCAAAAACCGCAGTGCACCCCCCTTGGACTTGGTGGCCTGATCTTGCACCTGATATCTGTAAGTTAGCTGCCAGTTCCCTGGCTTGGGATCTTTCTAATTATGACAATTTAGATAAACCACCCCTGGAGGAACAATGTGTCCCTCATGGTATAGGGAGCACATTGGGATGTTCAGGACAATTTTTCTGAGCCAACCTCCAGGCAGCAGACTTCTATGTCTGCCCCGGGCAGGGACATAACAGAGAGATGAAGAGACGATGTGGAGGGGCATCAGGTTACTTTTGTGGCAAATGGGGATGTGAGACCACAGGAGAAGCCTACTGGAATCCTTCCTCCTCCTGGGATCTGATTATAGTAAAAAAGGGTCGTAAGCCAGAAGAGCCAGAAAAAGGAGAGAGAGAGACCCATCTAAGTACCCGTCTTATAAGACTGGATGTGCTCCTGGGGCCTCGGGTGGCCCTCAGGGGCCATGCAAAGGCAACTATTGCAACCCTCTGAATATTAGTTTCACAACACAGGGAAAACAAGATCGCCAATGGGTAAAAGGTAACCGCTGGGGGTGGAGAGTCTATACTGGAGGGGGGAGACACAGGGTTCATTTTCGCTATCAGGATGAAGACAGAGAGTCCGCCTGCATGACAAGTAGGCCCCAATCCGGTGCTTGATAACCCCCTACCCAAGCCTGAGAGACTTCCTAGTCTCACCCCATCACCAAGGGAAAGTTCCTCTTCCAGTCTTAATCCATTCCCTCCTTTGATCCCATCCTCCCACCCACCTATGAGGAACGAGGATCACCTGTTCAATCTGCTCGATAGTGCGTTTGTCATTTTAAACCGCACAAACCCCACTGCTACCCAATCTTGCTGGCTGTGCTTGGCTTCTAATCCCCCTTATTATGAGGGAATAGCTCAAATATGGAGCTATAATGTTACTTCTGATCATTCGCATTGCCCCTGGGGGAGCCAACGAAAGTTGACCCTTTCAGCGGTATCAGGCACTGGACTATGCATAGGCAAAGTTCCTACCAGACACCAGCCCCTCTGTATCGTAACTATCAACATCCTGACAGATGGCCCAAATCAATATCTAGTACCCCCCCCCAGACACCTGGTGGGCCTGTGGCACCGGCCTGACCCCCTGCCTGCATGCTTCACTTTTTAACAGTACAGACTTGTATTTTGGTCCAACTGGTGCCTAGGGTCCTCTATCATGATGATAGTTCATTCATAGATGAATTTGATCACCGTACTCGTTACAAGAGGGAACCTGTAACCCTGACCTTAGTTGTCTTGTTAGGACTAGGAGTAGCAGCAGGGATTGGAACTGGAGCGGCTGTCCTTATCCAACAGCCCTACTACTATAATGAGCTTAGAGCGGCTATGGATGCTGACCTGGGAACATTGGAGCAGTCCGTAACTAAACTAGAAGAGTCATTAACTTCATTATCAGAGGTAGTGTTGCAAAACAGAAGGGGATTAGATCTGCTTTTTCTTAAAGAGGGAGGGCTCTGTGCAGCCTTAAGGGAAGAATGTTGCTTTTATGTAGATCATTCCGGTGTCATCAGAGATTCCATGGCAAAGCTAAGAGAAAGGCTAAAAAACAGAAAAAGAGAAAGAGAAGCATACCAAGGATGGTATGAAAATTGGTTTAATCGGTCACCCTGGTTCTCTACTCTGGTCTCCACCTTGGCTGGACCTTTAATCATTTTGATGCTGATCCTAACCTTCGGGCCATGCATCCTCAATAGGCTGGTGTCATTTATAAAGGAAAGGATAAGTGCTGTCCAGGTAATGGTTTTAAGGCAGCAGTACCAGATACTACAAGAAACTGAGGGATTGCTCTAAGATTAGAGCCATTTACAAGAAGAAGTGGGGAATGAAGAGTAGAAAAAAATTACTAGCTGTCTGTAAGGGCATAGACTCTTCACCCTGGGGCCCCCGTCCCCCCCAGGTGGCCGCTTCCGGAACTCTCTTGAGAAAGACAGTTCCCGGAGTGACCACAGGATGTCCCAATGACCTCTGTGGAATGTTCCAACGCCCCAGGTGTGTTGCTTAATCTAACACATAGTTTAACTGATGAGTAAATGTGTAACTTTGTAATTCCCCTATTTCCTCCCCAGTCCCCCTCCTTTCTTTTGTGTTTTTTGCCTTTATAAGCTTGTCACAAGTTTGGGTCGGGGTCGAACTCCTCTACCCCTGCATGGTGTATGAGTCTCGACCCCAGCATGCTGGCCTGAGATCTCATTCAATCCCATTTTCAATAAACTTCCTCGTGTGATTGCAGCAAGTTCGGTCTCAGTGTCTCACTGGGTGCGTGCTATTCCTGAGATTTGAGCAAGGGTCTCCCTATGGGGGTCTTTCACTTCTAGGCCTCAGGTGGCTGGCTGAGACCCAGTCCCATTTAGAAAGCCAGCCTGGATACCACAGGACCTCTGTGATGGCTAAATTTGGTTGTCAAATTGACATACTTGGGAAAAAGACCCTAACTACCAGGTTGGCCTGTGGATGTGTCTGTGAGGCATTGTCTTACTTGATAATTGATGTAGGAGGACCCAGTCTTCTATAAGCAGTATCGTCTCTATGTAGGAAGACATGGGCTGTATAAAAAAGCTAGCTGAGCAAGCCAAGGAAGGCAAGGCATTAAACAGCAGTCCTATGGTTTTTGCTTCAAGTTGCCACTTTGAGTCCCTGCCTTGGCTTTCCTTGATGATGGGTGGTCACCAGTGAGAGGAAATAAGCCCTTATTCTCCAAGTAGGATTTGGTCAGTGCTTTATCACAGCAACAGAAACTTCTAGAACAGCCTCCAAGCCTGCACTGGGGAGTCTGCTGGGGCTCTGTGGTTAACAACTCTGATTTTGTATTTTGGGAGCTGAGACTTCAGACCAGTGTCCAGGGATTTCTGGGCCAAGATCCTCTGTCTATTGCTGGGCAGGCAGAGGAGCTCCATGGGTAAAGGTATATAGTCTCTGGCTGTCCCACAGCAAGACCTGTGGTAAGACCCATGGCAAGACCTGTGGCTATCAACTGCTGGTCAGCACAGAGCTGAAGGTACTACCCTCACACCACCACCAATCCCTTCTATTTATTGTCAGGGCAGCTGGAGTCAGGCTTGGTTTGGGGCTCTGTGAGATCCTAAGTAGAGCTGAAGTTCCTGAACTGGGCTACATGTGCCCCCTGGTGGCAAAGGTGCTCACAGCCATGATGCGTTCTAGGCTCTACACCCCACAGCTGAAGAACCTCCATCTAACCGCTGCAGAACCTGGACTTCACAAATATTGGTTCCATGCTAAGCCAGAAAACAGTCTGAACAAAATTCAAAGAATTGTGTGCATGAGTGTTTTTGTAGTGTGATGTGTAGGCCAGTGGTGTATGTATGAGATGTGTGTGTGTAGCTCGTACAGTATGTAGGTGGTATGTGTGCAAGATCTGTCCTGTCTGATCCATGTGGTATGGTTTTACATAGAAATTTATTGCATATCCTATGTTGTAAAGATGCTGTTTTGTGGTATGTGAGCTACATGTGTACGTAATCTATGAATGAATGTTGTGTGTGTGTGATGTGTACATGTGTTACTTGTGCTTTGCAGAGTATGTTGTATGTCATGTGTTTGTGTGTTCTGTGTGTCGCTTTGAATGTAGAGTAATTGTGTGTGTGTGTGTGTGAGAGAGAGAGATAGAGATATAGATAGATAGAGAGAGAGAGAGAGAGAGAGAGAGAGAGAGAGAGAGAGAGAGAGAGAGAGGTGTTGTTTCAGGATAAACTAAGGGCTTCAGGCTTCCCTCTGGCCACTCAGTTGGAGAACTAAACTTAGATCCTCCACAGGAAGAGTGTGACTCTATTAACCACTGAGCTATTCCTCCAGTTCCCCATCCCCAAGCCCCATGTGTGCTTTTAAAATACTAGCTCCATCATTAAAATCCTGCAGCATGGCTGGGCACGTGGTTCAGTGCCAATTCCCAGAACTTCAGAGATGCAAAATAGAACAACACTCCAACTGTCCAATAGACTCCTGCTCTTTAACTTTGCATCTCTCTGAGTATACATGCTCATGTATGTATATATGTGCACATATGTGTGTACATGCATTTGTGTGTATGTATGTATATGGTGTGTGTGTGTGTTTTATGCATTCTGCCGCTTCAAAGGCCTGGGGACTTCCTGTGGTTTTGGCATTCAGGGATAGGGTGACATAGTTGCAAGGAGAAGTTCATGCAGCTGTTAGAGGGGAGCAGCTCCAGATTCCTCCTTCTTGCTAGGTTCACTGTGGCTGAGGGGATAGTGAAAGCCTGCCACCAGGCAGCTTGTGGAGATGACGAGTCTAGGGTCTGTCCTGCAGTCCAGTGCTTCTGTCCTGTTAGGACCCACTCATTATTCAGGAGGCAATCCTCCCTCATATCTTGCCTCATGCCCTCATTCATATAAGGCCTCATATTCCTTCTATATCAGGCCTCATTTTTTTTTTTTCACATCTCCCTCCTCACATGCTCCCCTGACTTCTCCAATTACTCCTGACTTCTGAGAAGTGATGGGTAG